TTATGTCCTGAGTGTGTGTTTAAATGCCTCTCAGTCAAGCTGGGAAAAGAATATATTCTGAGCTGTATCCATATAATTTTTAAATAGCCTGAGTTACTTAAATTATTCTACATCAGTGAAAAAGCCTGAAAAATGTGTTTGCCATGCAATAAATAATCATTCTTACAATCAAGCTACTCATGCAGAAAGTCATCTGCCGAACAACTGGTGTGAATCAAAGTTTCAATTCCAAAATGCAATCAATTCATATGCAAAGTCTTCCCTTTAAAAGTGGTTCTCAACCTGTGGGTCGCGACCCCTTTGGCGGTCGAACGACCCTTTCACAGGGGTCGTCTAAGACCATCCTGCATATCAGATATTTACATTACGATTCATAACAGTAGCAACATTACAGTTATGAAGAGGCAAGAAAATAATTGTATGGTTGGGGGGTCACCACAACATGAGGAACTGTATTTAAAGGGCCAGAAGGTTGAGAACCACTGCTTTAAAAGGTCAGGTTCACGCTGACGAGGTGAGGAGAACTAATTCCCTGGAGGTTTCATTTAGTGCCTTGAGTATGTTGTTAAAACCACTCAGTGTGTGGGAGGCGTGACTCTCCCCCGAGGACTCACACGCTGCCCCAGCGGGCACCTCTACATCGTCCTCTCCAACGGCCAGGAGCAGCAGGCCCTTCTCCCCTCCTCTGTGCTGTCCATTAAGAAGCTGGGAAACCGTTTTCCAGGCAAAATTGGTCTTAAACTAAGATTCTGATTTTAGAGTCTTAACTGGATCGACCACTCAGCCCTTGTTCTTTTCCAAGTGCAGACTCGATGCCGCTCTGCTCCTGCTCACTTCCCAAATCAGAGTCCGCCTGCTGCCACACAGGGACGCCTTGCCAGGGCGTTCTCGGCATTGCTTCCAGGTGTAAAGCCGGGAGGACGTGCAGCACAGCAGGCTGACTGATGGGTCTGCTGGCCCAGGCCTGAGCTCTGCGCTGAAGGTCAAGGCAGCGCAGCTGGTACTTTTTATTGTCAGGTGACAGGGGAAAGCATTTTAATTTGTGAATCTAATTAAAATTATTTTATTTATAGAAAAGTATTTTATATTATATATAATAAATTATACATGTAATACATATTACATATAAATCATGCATTTATATGAGAATATTTATAATAATTTGAAAAATGAAACATTGGTATTAATATTTAATAAAATCACTTATTAAGTATTTAAATTATATTGTTTAATAATTTAACATCTAAGGTTTAGTGCAGCCCCAACCTGAGGTCTGGGACGACGCCAGAGTGAGTTTCGTGCGCGTGAGTGCAGGCAGCGTGCTCACAGGCCCTTGCAGACCCCGAGGCACACCTTCCGGTCTGTACCTCCTGGCCGCCCATGCTGAGCCCAGACAGGTCTCCATCAGTGTGTCCCCCCCCATGTGCCTCAAAGCAGGGAGCAGCTGTGCAAAGTTAGGTTCCACAGGTTTTTCTGAAGCGATCCCGAGACCATGAATGTCTGTGAGGACAACCTGCGTGTGGGCAGTAAGGGGAGGATGGGGAGGATGCAGAGGATGCAGGCTTGGTGCAGACAGGGTTTTGAGGCCTGGTGGGACCAGAATTGCCAGGTAGCCATGGAAACCACCGTATGCATTGACCCACCCTGGGAAACAGCATCAGACTGTCAAATGAGCCTTCAGGCTTCGTGCTAGGCTAACGTTTATTGTTTATTTTCCTTTCTTTTTTTTTTGTTAATCCTCACCTGAGGATATTTTTTTTCCATTTATTTTTAGAGAGAGTGGAAGGGAGGGGGAGAGAGAGAGATACATCAGTGTAAGAGAAACACATTGATTGGTTGCCTCCCTCAAGGGCCCTGACTGGGGCCAGGGATCGAGCCTGAAACTGAGGTACATGCATTTGACTGGATTCAAACCTGGGACCATTCAGTCCTCAGGCTGATGCTCTATCCATGAAGCCAAACCAGCAGGGCTATTTTTTTATTTTCCTAATGACATTATTTACTCATCACTGACTTGTAAATGTAAAAGTTCTTATATCAGCCTAGAGTTGAAGGCCTGAGATCACCGATTTCCTTCCACATTCCCTGAGCTTTTCTATAAGCAAATATTTCCTTGTGTTGTAACTGTTTATGACAAAATTTTCCATGGGTATGTTCTGATTGATTTTATGTTGTGTCATTTAAAAACGCTATTTCATGCCTGGCCAGTGTGCTCAGTGGTTGAGCATCGACCTATGAACCAGGAGGTCATGGCTTGATTCCTGATCAGGGCACAAGCCGGGGTTGCAGGCTCGATGCCCAGTAGGGGGTGTGCAGGAGGCAGCCGATGGGTTTCTCTCTCAGGGATGTTTCTATCTCTCTCCCTCTCAGTTTCTCTCTGAAATTAATAAAAATCTATTTTAAAAAATAAAAATGCTATTTCATAATTTCTGCAGCACATTTATCTGAGGAGAAAATTTGTTCCCATATTTACATTAAGAAGAGATGCGCATCGAAATGTATCAACATTTCTTTTTATCTAAGGAATTTAAATGACAATTATTAATGTTCATCATTGAAATATGAAATGGAATATATGTGCTCATGTTTGATAGCTTATTTCATTCACAAGTTTTATTTTTCTCTGCTTTATAAAAACTTCATTGATTTCCACATGTAGCTCCAGCATGGCTTGCAGAAGGCGCTCACTCTCTGACTCTCTGGCACAACATGAACGCACCTCTAGGGCTGCAAGGAGAGCTGACATTCTGACAATCCCTAGGAACCATGGATGGAGCTAAATGCATGATGCAAGTTTTCTTATTGATTCTCTATTTCACAAATAAGGACCTGAAACTTGCGGTTGAAACAACTGCCTAAACTAATAGAGCTTGTCTGTCAGGGTCAGGGGCAAGGAGGTGGAAGCAGTTTCTAAATGTACATAGGAGCACCGTTTTAAGACACTGGCAGGCAGTGGGCTGGAGTATGCAATATTTAACACTGCGATATTCACTAAGATGAGTTTTTATTCAACACAGAATTAAAGTGAATGTCCATGAGTTGTGCAGGGTCCTATGTTTATAGTCACGTGCCCACGATATCATGGACCACACACCATGCTCTTATTCCCTTTGGCAAGCAACTGAGATAAAAGTCACTACTTTGAATATATGTTCCTTGCAGTAGATTACCTGTTGCCTGGTAGGCTCGTGTGTGCCTCATAGTCACCATTACCCTGCTCTCTCACTGAAAAGGGTCAGGAAAGATTTGTACATACTTTTGGACAATTTTATTTAAAATCATTTCCTTGGAGGAGAATGGAGAAATTTCACTATGACATAAAGTGTCCAGTCAGCAGAGCCATTTGGGTATATATTTCAACCCACTTTACTTCTAAGTCATAACTAAGTCATATCTAAGTCACATCTAAGTTATGTTTCAGTCACGTCTAAGTCATACCTAAGTCATGTCTAAATCATACTTAAGTCATACCTGTCACACCTAAGTCATATCTAAGTCATACCTAAGTTGTTTCCGTCACATCTAAGTCATACTTAATTCATACCTAAGTCATGTCATCATCTGCTATGTCAGTTTCCCCATGTTGAGTATTTGCTGAGTTATAAATCATTCTTCTTTGGGAACTTTTTCTCGGGGTTCTAGTACTGAGTTCTAAACTCTGAATAAGTTTAGAACAAAGACTATGGAGGGTGTGCAATAAAAAATGACTTCCATCTCAGTGCAGTGGGAGGACGGAACGCCGCTGAGAAAGTGCACTAAGTGAGGCGTGAAGAAAAGCTGTTTCACCCTGTTGATGCGAGGGCAGGACACACATGCCTTCCGAATGAAAGGCTCCTCTCGGCTTAGTGGTGCCTAACAACAGCAGAGGTGACCAATGAGGGAAGGAAGCGCGCTCTAGTGATTTCTTTGGACCAGATCACCTCGACCTCCCATTTTTCATGAAGTCCTCCAAAAAATCACCTGCTCCTTTCTATTCCCCCGCCTCCCAAGCAATTATTTTGACTACTGTGATTCAAGCGACTTTCTGAGATGCTTTTATGAGGAGAAAAGGGGAGGGAACCATGGTGCTCAAGGAGTAACAGAAATATTCAAAGGCCACGAATAAAGACATAAAAGAAAATGGATGTGGTCACTCAGAATCTAACCCCACCCGTGTCCTGGTTACCGAGCGTGAGTACAGTGGACCCCAGATGTGATTGGTTTTTCATCAAATGCCGCACAACCTCCTCAGAGCGAGACACCACCTCTTCCCACTCCTCTGAGACCAGACAGCAGCGACATAATGCTGAGCATGCAGAAGTGCTCACCTTTGACTGACTATTAGAATGTCCTGAAGTGACTAGTACATTAATAATCCTTTAATATATTAGTCAAGGGATTACTGGACAGATCCGTTAAGAACAATTAGTTCGAAATGCCCGAAGATCATCCATGTGTTCTTGCCCACAATATACGATCATTGGACCATGTATCTTGACTCAGGACGATACCACCAGCTCTGTGTTCAGGGAGCCAGCAGTGTGAATGGAGTGGAGAAATAAAAGTGAAATGAGAAAAAAAGAGAAAAGACAGAGATTTTGGAGATAGAGCTAGAGAAACTGGCGAAAGAAACACTAAGCAGAGAAGACGGAAAGAAAACAGCAAAGGTGGGCGACAGGAAACAGTGACGCTGCAGTTCAGAGGGAAGGTTAGAACCTGACTGAGCATGTTTACATGATGAGAATAGAGATGATTAGTCTACCGTGTGCTCATTGGGATAGAGTGTTTCACAGACATTTGTCAGCAGCATGTCTGAGGTCACAGCACAGCCTAGGGTGTGTTTCATGTGAGTCTTTATAAAATGGAGGTATTGATGCCGCTGAAGAAATGATGGACCAGAGATGTGGTAAGACTCTGAATATGGAATTAAATGACTGAAACACAATCTCAGCAAGCCTCGGTAATTTGAACTAAAAATTGATTAAAGAATTGAGATTTAAAATACTTAGACATATACTCACCCAACAGATAGGAAAGGTTCCTTTGACTCAAGTCTGTGAAAAAAATATAAAAAGTTTATTTTAACATAATGATATATTATACAATTAAATTGCTTTTGTATAAACCTGACCGAATTATTATCCTTGTTGGGGTGAAAATGCACAACTTAGCACGAGTGTAAAGGCTATAAATAATATATTAACCCCTAATCAGGACTAATTCAAATTCTAGCTGGATTAATGGGGAGGCTAAAAAAATGAGACAACCCTGGTATGGGATGTAGCATTGAACTGATGCAGTAGGATAACATTGTTACTTTAATTCTGATTTGCACTCTCTATATCTACTTATTTTCTGTCCCCCCCCACCCCCCCCCCCGAGTAATTTGTTTGTAGAAGTTCCTACATCTGTCTGTGATTGTTGAAGCAGTAAAATTTACAGTGTATTTGGTTATATATTAACTGAATAATTTATTTCGAGTAAATCTTCCAGCAAGAAGATCTAGGCATCATGGTGCCCTGATTACTGCGTGACACCACCACCCGGGAGTCAGGACACAGGTGAGGCCTTCCTGCTCCTTGTGTCCCAGGGAGCAGGTGCTGGTAGCTCCGCACATGTTAATGGGGAAGCTAACTCTGAAGCCTCTGCTTTGTTGTGGCATCTGGAACAACCCACTTGAAAACATTTGGGGAGGAGGGATTGAGCAAAATAGAAAGAAAAAAGTGAAAGAACTCCTGTGGGGAGGGCGGAAGGGGAGGTGGAAGATGGTAGAGGGAGGATAAATGGTGATGGAAGAACATAAAGGGAAAAAAGAAATATAAGGAGGCAAATATAAAAAACAATTAAAATAAAATTAGTAAACCACAAAACAACAACAACAAAGCCCCACATTGTGGCCTGTACTTCTCTCATTGCAGCAGAGGCTATGACTGCGTCCAGTGACTGTGCTTCTCTCTTACATTAACTCTATATTCATTGCAAAAGGTCAGCAAGCTCAACGCTTCTTTATTAATAACCAAGGAGACCGGCTGGTAGGTGTGCATTGGCCACTTTGTTTCCATATAAGTTTCTTATCATATAACTAGAGGCCCGATGCACGAAATTCGTGCAAGGTAGGCCCTGAGTCCCCGGCTGCCGGGGCCCTCACTGTCTGGCTGCAAGGCCCCGCCCCTTGCCTACACCCACCAAGGCCCCACCCCTTGCCACACACCCCCAGTTCTCTGGTTCCGCAAAGCCCCCCAATCAATCGCCCTGCAGAGGGTGGCCTGGGCCTCCCTCTGTGAGGTGATCGTGGGGTGATGGCGGGCCCCCCGACCAATGGCATTACACCCGCCTTGGCTGGCCTGGCACCAGGGCCTGTCATAGCGTGGTCATCCGGATGGTCGTTCTGCTGTTTGGCTGTTTGGTCTATTTGCATATTACGCTTTTATTATTATAGGTTATAGGTTAAATGCAGGCAATTATTGAAGACATTTTCATGTAAATCCTGGCACTTAAGATTTTTAGAAATATTTCTTGTTTTAAATTATTTTATTTACATGTGTGTCACCCCTTTCTTGACAATTTCAATAACCGTAAGATGATGACCAAAGATATGTTTATTGATTTTTTTTTTTAGAGCGAGAGGGACAGAGAGAGAAACATTGATCTGTTGCCCCCTGTACACTCCCTGACTGGGGATCAAACCCACCACAGTTTGGTGTCTGGGATGATGCACCAATCAACTGAGCCACCTGGCCAGGGCTTTCCATGTAGCTCTTTATTGCTTCTCTTACCAACCACTTTATTGCACGAAATTTGTCTACTTATTGCTCAGACATGTTTGGTTAGCTATGCTTTTCTGTCTTTAGCATCCATTTCTATATGAGCACTGATTTTTTCCTCCTTCCCCACTGCATGATCTCTTTAGCTTTTGAGTCTCTCTACCACCTGCTAAAGCCTATCTTGAGGCCTTTGTCTTACAGGAACAGCCCTGTCTCTGTTCCTGTGACTCCTTATCTCCATCACCGTGACCGTCTCAGGACACAGTCCTGGTTAACAGGCTGAGAGGGCCGTGCAGACTGGTGAGAACATGAAACTTGCCTCCGCCTGGACAAGAAGCTCTTGAGGCTCTGTGTGAGCCTCCCAGTGGGTCCGGGGCGGTGGCGGGGAGGGGGCCGCGGGGAGCTGGCTGGTGCTCTGGGAGCTGAGCAGAGAGGAAAGATGATGTCCACTGAGCACAAGCCCCAGGTGCCTGGACCCCAAGCACTTTCAGTGGTGACATGAGCAGGAAGTCATGGTGGGGAGCCACCAGCCATCCTGCCTCAGGTCTCACCCTCCGAGTGGTGACCAGGGACCTCAGTGAGCCGTGCTGAGCCTCTAAACCACCTGCTCGGCCGCCCTCATCACACAGGGCCAATGCCCTGCCTGAGGGGTTCAGAGTTTCTTACGCTTTCTCATGCATTACATAGCAAACACCGAGCCAGCCCAAGGGGCGGCGGCGAAGAACACGAGGTTATGTACTTGGGGATAGTCTGCAGGGTCCCCACCGAGCGGACTAGGGGGCCAGGGCAATGCCAAAGGCCGGCCGTCACTCTATGAGCAGAAACGCCTGGAATGTAGGAAAAACTCACTTCCATCATTTTAGTCTTGAAAAGTGAAAAGAGTAAGTAAAAGAAGGAAAGTACTGGAGAAACAGGCCCCTGAGGAAAACTGTTAATCGATTTAACCCTGGAAACATGATTACATGGCAGAATACCCTGAGACAACTTCTCTGAGTTTTGTTTTTTTTTTTTTAAATATATTTCTTTACTGATTTCAGAGAGGAAGGGAGAAGGAGAGAGAGATAGAAACATCAATGATGAGAGAGAATCATTGATTGGCTGCCTCCCACCGCCCCCCCTCCCCCACTGGGGATGGAACCCACAACCCAGGCATGTGCCCTTGGCCGGAATTGAACCTGGGACCCCCCAGTCCACAGGCTGATGCTCTATCCACTGAGCCAAGCCAGCTAGGGCTTCTCTGAGTTTTTTATAAGGTAATTGTTTTGTGAAGAAAATAATTGATTTTACCTTTCCTGAGATTTACTTTTAACAGGAAATAGGTAGTGAATTTAATAATACTTCATTCAGGATCCACTAGAGCTATGAGTAGAATAAGATAAACTTCCAAAAAGTAGGCGCAGTAGAGACGTAAAATAGAATGCAAAATTTAGATCAATATTTGGGGGCTAAAGGATTTGTAACACTTTGTATTTTACAACAACGAAGAGCTGAGCTGTTTTTACTGAGGGTCCGGCATTATTCAAAATGCTTTATAAACGTTGATTTATTTCAGCAACATGATACTCTCTGAGGTGGAGCTCATGCTACAGATGAGGAAAGTGATGCCCAGACATGCTACCTGTCTTGCCCACGGTCACAGAGCTAACCGGTGGTGGAGGCGGATTGAAGCTGGGCAGTCCGGGCCTGAAGGTCATGGGCTCCGACGGTGTGGTTCGCCTTCTCTCACCAGTTTGTTTTGTTTGTTTGCACATTGCTGATGGGATTGCCGCAAGTCCTCCCTTCATTCTCTCTTAATTCTCCTGAGAGGTCTTATCTGATTTCCAATGTTGTCCACATTCCAGATGTTCCCAAACATCCCTCTCTGGCATCACCCCGTTTCCGATGCGTGGCTACATCTGCCCAGCACGCACCTTCAACTGTAGGTGCCTTTAATGCAACACGGCCCAGTTTCGATTCCTTGCCTCCCTCCCTCATTCTTCTCCTCTCTGCCCCTCACTCAATGGCGCCACTGGCACTGGCACGGCTCGGAGACCTGAGACCGAGCTGGAAGGAGGGGAACGCTGCTCGTTCACTCCGCACAACCTCAGCGCACAGCCTCTCCTGGTTCCCTTGTTTCTGTTGCCGAGGCCTTGTCAAGCTGCTCCTGCCTCTCAGTTCTCGCTGCCGCAGTGCACGGATCGAATCATCAGCTTTCAGGTGGCCACAGAGCCGTCGCCCCAGGCCTCCCTCTGTAGCCTTCCTGCCAAGCGCCCTGCGTTAGAGCTTAGCCAACCAATTGCTCCCTGCACAGGGAAAAACCTGGCGCACTGTTACACAAAAAGCTAGCAGCTTTTCTTGAGGATTATAGGAATCATAATTTGACGTATTCAGTTTAGTCTTTATGTCATCATTAACCACTTATAGTCTAAATACATCCACGTGACATTTTCATGTTCCAAGGTAAGTGACTAAATGTGAGCAAAAGATGATAATTTTGATCAAGGATAAGCACTTGTGATTCCTAGATGTCTTTCTGAATGAACATGTTGCATATTGCATGTTGCAATTCTATCAGAATTCTTAAAAATTCTTACAAATTCATTTATTGCTAAAAGATTAAAACAGGTAAGCATCTTCCTGCGCAGTGCGGACAGCCTGTCCACAGATAACGGTGGATGAATTCTTTGACATCCAGTGAGAATCAGAATCTGTCTCTCGACTTTCCTCTCCTCACCTGAAGACAAAAAACAAGAGCGAAAGCAGCCCCGGCCTCTGTGAGCTCTGCTGTGGGGAGCAAGGCGCCGGGGCGGACACGCTTCCCTGGTGCTCGGCGTGCGGAGAACACGGGCCATCACGGGACTCTGCTCCAGCCGCCCGAGGAAGTCTGGGCACGAGTCGGGACCACGAGATCAGCTGCAGAGCAGCCCCGGGTATGAAGGACAGCTGGGGAACAGAGTCAATATCGTCATAACTATGCATGGGGCCAGGTGGGCTCCGGAAATTCGGGGGACCACCCTGAAGAGCACATGGTTGTCTAACCACTAGGCGGTGCACCTGGCACTGATACAGGATAATGCTGAATGTCAACTGTAAGGAAGAAAACAGAGGCTTTGTCCACTGGCCGTGAGCAGGCACTTCAAGGGCATTCTCATGCCACCTTAGCCCTTCTCTGGTGCAGCGACCTCTGAGGGCGCAGAGCTACCATAGATGCCCCAGGGTTACCCCACCCGTAGCCTTTGATGCTATTCTGTCAACCACATTGAGAAATTTATGACAACGTGGAGCTCTGGGTGAGACCATGGGAGCAATCA